AGTTCCCTTTCTTTGCCTCCTCTCGGCTTTGATGCATGCTTTCCTGGGTGTCCCCGTCTCCTGTGGATAGTCTCACCTCCGCGCTGCCATTTCTGGAGACATTTCAGCAGCAGGCCGGCTGTTGAGGATCTGCAGCGTGTTCCTTACAGGGACGCCAGGAGCGCTTTGTGAGTGCAAACATCAGAGGCGGCCCTTCTGCAGTTAGCTGAGACACCTGGAATGGCCAGGCGGCCCTCAGCTCTAATGTCATCGGTGCCTCACACACACCCCACTCCTTCAGATAAGGAAGTTAATGCCGGATGCCCAAGAAAGCCATTCGTTATTGTTCACTGACCCAGTTCCAGAAGACAGCTGGATGGAGGCATTTTTGCATCATACCCCTTTTCCAGGACACTGTGATGTTTAAATTGCTCCCAAATACAGCAGATTCCACGCAGTGCCACACACACCTTGATGGATGGCCTTTGCATCTCCTTCCCCCGCCTAAAGCCTGTCTCAAACCATATGCAATGCTCACAAAAAGAGGGTGTTGGGGAACCCAGGCCAGTGCTGTCTGTTGCTTGTGTTCTCTCAGCTGAATGCCAGCGCTCGGCAACGATGCACCTCCCGTGTCAGAGGGCTGCTGTGGCCAACTGAGTTCCTATCATCTATTAGCTTTGGCCCGTCTCCCTTGAAGTGGCCGCTTCATTAATCTGAAGAGAATGGAAAACGATGTGTGGCACGCACTGCTGTCGGTTCTTTGGCAGCAACATTCAGAGGCAGGACAGGACATGACGGAGTGGGGGCCGGTGACCCTGGCACACCAGGTGCCAGCCTGTTCCCCTGGGAGGGCAGTGACACTGATTGGGTCCTCCTCACTCCAGGGAATTCTAGGCGGAGGAATGGACCAGTCTGAATGACAGTCATCATTTTGTCCGGTATGGCATGATTTATGAGACCCTGGCGGTTGATGAGGCCATGTTACCGGTCTGGCAGGCTTCCTGCTGCAGGGGTTGTTACTGGAAACTGGCAGATGAAGCACTGTAGCAGGGCGGTGAAAGTGGAAACTGAAGGAGGAATGTCTCTTATGACAGTAAAGCCAACTTTATGGAAAATTCCTGAAGGCAGCAACAACGTGGCCATTAGCCAGCCAAACTCCAGTGAAGAATTGCTTCCGATACAGAAAGCTGGCAGCCATGAAACGATGACACAGCTCCTGAAGTTTGCTCAAGGTGGCCTCGCAGCTCTGTGACCCATTTGTGTCTTTCCCCAAACATTCTCCTGAATCAGCAAGAGTTCGTTAGCAGAAACACTCCTTACCTTATCGAAAATGCCCCGTCGCATAACTGCTAACCAAGGTAAGCACTGTAGAAACAAACTAGTGAACGACGATGTGGGAGGCTTTAAAGAGCTTGTGAGAACAGTACCTCTCTGTCTAATCTTTATTTCATTTATGTAGAGGGAGAGGGAGGCTGATTGCAAGGAAATGGTTCACGAAGTTGTGGTGGCTGGCAAGTCCCTCATCCAGGGGTCAGGCATCAGGCTGCAGGCTTCTCCTGACGCACATGGTTAGATGGCAGGTTGCTGGCACACAATGCCAGAAGTGGCGGTCAGAGGAGTCGGAGTCTGACGCAGGACTGAGAGAATGGGAGCGACGCCAGAGCATCCATGTGTACAGAAGGTGGAACTTACCACCCAGAACACAAATTGACTGTCAACTGATTGGCAACGCACATCAGTATGGGCCATGTTAGACTGAATCAGGAAAGAAAAATCTGCCCCATGTCTGCCAAGCCATATACTCCAGCCAAGTTGGCATAGAGCACTTACCACTGCAAAGTACAAGACTGATTCCTGTCACAGGTTCTGCAAAAGACCCAAAGTGGTAGGCAACAGGTCAAACATAGTCACGGGCACTTTAAAGAGTAATGCAACACCAAGGGAAGAAAATGAGCCATGTCAAAGCAACCCGGCAGCGGCAGGGCCTCCCACTGCAGACGAGGAGACCGTGTGCAAAGTCCCCGCTACATGATGCCTGGGCTGCTGTGCTTGTTTTTGGACGCCTCCGCCAGGAGCGAGAAGCAGTAAGAATCCTTACAAGGGTCGTGAGGAGGAGCATCCCTCGACGTCCACACAACAGATTCCGCATGGGCCACTCCTCCCTCCCATGACCGCCCCCCTGCCGAGGGTCTTTGGCTTCGACAAGCAGTGTCTTCCCTATGTCCCGCTGCTGTTAAGCACAACACCACGCATGGGTGGCCTTCGCAAACAAAGATTCATCGTTCCGGTTTTGCTCAGGTGCTGAGTTGGTTCTCCCTGGCTGTGGCTCTGTGTACAACGGAGCCCGCTGCTGTCCCGGCCTCCCAGCAGTCGCTATGAAAACATGACTCCATTCTTTCCAGTGGTCTGCCCACTCAGGGCCGCGCTCCTCCCACCACGATGCCAAGTCCGTTGTGAGGCGACCTTCAACAGTTTCTAATCCTTTCCAGTAAAACCCTAGCACATGTTAGGCTTATTCTTAGGCAGTCTGTATTTTTTACTACTTTTGTAGATGGTATCTATTCTCCTGCCTTTCCCCACCCCGAGGTGTCTCCCAATTAGTTATTATCTAAGAGGACTTAGACAATTTTGTGGGCAAATGGATAAAAGTTAATGGACACTTTCCACAATCTTTGTGCAGCCTTGTTTGTGATGCCTGTATACGAACCTTGTACTTAACCACCTTTTGCAAAGCTCTATTCACTTTAGTATTTCATCAGTTGCTTATTCTTTTATTTCTCTCAACTACAAAAACCCGTGCGAGTTAACGGACTCATAGAGACCCGATAGGACAGAGAGAACTGTGTGGTGGGGCTGCTCACACCGTAAATCGTGAGCATAGTTTCATCTCTCTTTCTCTCTCTCCTGCTACGTTTACAGTTAACAGCTCAACACGGACCCCACAGCATCACCAGGCTGCCCTTTGGATGTTCCACGTTGGTACTATTTCCTACAAAAGTACTTACCTTCACTTCCCAATACTTACCTGTGTTTTCCTGTCAAATTACAATGGCCGGGACCGCCCAGTGTAGGAGAGATTCTTTGCCCCTTAGCAGAAATGTTTCTCTATCTTTTAAGATTGAGTTTCTTTTCTTGAGATATTAAGAAGCTAAAAAATAACTAGTTTGCTCAGTTGTTTTTGAACAGGAATCAGAGTGGTGCCTGGAAATGAGACCCACTCTTGTTAAAGACAAGGCACCTCACAGACGACTATTTTTACGGTTGAGAAACTTACAAGTAATATTCAATCAGCTTAATGTTGACTACTATTTAAAAAGCATACGAATAGAAGGACTCCTCTTGAGAACCTTAAGTATGTGACATATTTTACTTTCGTACCCAGGAAGTACAAGTTGAACTAATATTAAAACTGCATTATGTCACACTGTTCGTTTATACTGACACCATCCCTTCCCAATCCTAACCAGGTCAACATTACTTATTCGTTGTGCATTTTTATTCATATATTCCCTTCAATTGCCGCAAGTGAGATGGGGTGGCGGAGGGGTGGAGGGGAAGGAAACTTTAAAAAGAGATTCAGGAACACTTTAAATTGAAGAAATGAGATATGGGCAAGAAAATACGATTGGTTCTTTCAGTAACATCTTCCAGAAAATCACATGGAGACTTAATACACGAAGTCAGTCTCTTTCCCATTAGAAGGGAAGCCTCACTCAACATTTGGAGATTAATGTGGGGCTCCAGGGGCCCTTTGAGAATCTCGTCTGGAAGGAAGTCTACAGTTTAAGATGGCCTCCTTTGATACTGTTCAGCTTAACTATCTGAGCCCTCAGTATGTTAGGGGCTGTTTCAGCTTCACAGTGGCCCTATGCACAACAGAATGAAAACACAGCCCCACCATAACGAGACAGTGAGAAATACTTTTTCTTACCGACGAGAAACTCAGGTGGCATTGATATTCCAATAGAAGGCGTTACGTTTGTTCAATGTGCGACCCAGGGCCTACTAGTGGCACGGAGGCAGTGTCTGCCCTCTACACGCAGTGAGAATCACTGCTCAAGGTGGATTTCTATGAGGTGCTCAGACACGCCTTCACTGTAACCTTCCAGTCGTCTATCCCAACTTCTCAGCTTGGTTTGCTCATTTGAAGCAATGGTCACACAGAACTGACAGACAACACTCCTGATTGTTAGGTTATTCACAAAGTGATGGATGACCATTCAAGATCAGCCATGCGGAACATACAGTCTTGGATCAGGATTGCCTCCTCTAAGTCATGCTCACCTCTTCAATCCTCTGCTTCGCACACAGTTCCTTGGCCTCTGCCCGGGTCAGCAAAGTATTAAAGACCTTTCAGCTCTGCCCCAAAAATGCCTAAGCTGACAGTAAGCTGCTGCCGGATGGCACTCAACTCAAACGCCATGGGTTGGCCAATCTAGCTCCTCCAATGAAGTGCTCAAGGGGCCTCTGACTCAGCCAACAAGCCTCTTCCAGAAGGCACCGAGCTTTCTTGCTATGTGGGGCAAAGGCCCGCCCCCCATCTGCTTCCTAGTTTTACTGCCTTAGCTTTCCTGCCGTTTCTGGTCTCACAATCTCTGGTCTGAAGAAGCTTGGTGCAAGAGCCTCACGTTCAAAAGACACGCTCCACTCCTGGCACTCTTTCTCAACGGTAGTGAGAGCCCCTTCCCACTTCTGGGCTGGTTTGTTTATAGACGGATGGCACAACCAATGCTCTCATTAAGGTTCCATATGCCTGATTTGCATGGTTCTATCGCACAAGGGTCTCACGTAACTTACTGATGTCATTAGCAAGCTACCCAGTTTCCTTCATGAGCCATGACAGCTCACATTTGCCTAGTCCTCCCCAGTCATGTGGTGGGAGATAGACAATGGCTAGAACGGCCATGCCAAGCCATTCCCAGCACGGCATCAGGCCACTTTCAAATCCTTTTTGGAAGACTTCAAGAAAAAATAATCGACTGGTCAAACTAAAAAAATTATTATGTACCCCAACAGAAGTATAAATAGGACTCATAATTCACTTTATTATCATTTTATCATAAGGCCTTTATATCCCTGTATACATAAAAACCCCAATTTCCTTTCTGGTGGAACAACAGGACAGTGACGGTGCCTTTCAGGGAGTGGCTGCTTCTTTTCTACATAGGTGCACCACAGGTCCCACATGGCGCACCTCTACAATCATCTCTTTAAAAAGACAGACCAAGTATTTAATAAGTGGACTTAAGTTTATAAACACCTTAAGATGATTTGAAAATGTATAATAAAAATAGTTAACAAAGGCTTTCCCAATACGCAAACAGCCACGCCCACCTAAAATTTTATATATCTGATCTACTTAGCTGATTTATTCTAGTGGATAACAATCTACTAGAGGGCGATTTTCCTAACAAAATTTGGCGGGGCATTGAGTAACATCTCTAGGTCCTTGGCAAAGAGGTTAAAAAACAGCATTGCTATGATCAAAAGAAAGAGAAGGAACAGAGTTCCTGGTCCTGTGGTTGCGCGGGGTCCGCACAGCCCACGGAGCAGACGAGGCGAGGTGAGGCTCACCAGGCCGAGTGAGCTAGGCGTACGTCACAGATGGCGCACTGGGCTGACACACGTTCTCGTCATACAAGTCTTCAGGTAGTTCTTCTTCATCTCCATCAGGAAAATAGGTGGGGAACGGTAGAGTTTTGCACAAGTCCTTATATGTAGGCAAGGAAGAATCTTTGATCTGTAAGGAGAAGGAAGGCCTAATTAATAAGTGCTGTAAGTAAATTAGTGATGTAAATACAGCCTGTCTAACATTACTCAGATTATCAAAGACAGCTGTTACTACATTTCCTAATATGTGCAACAGTTATAGACACACATACCCAGTAAAATAATTCAAAAGTATTCTTCTTATTCCAATAAGGTGAGTTAATCCAATGATAGGATAATCTCCTGTATGTGAATCAGAGCTCTGGTGGCATAGTGGTTATGCTTTTCACTGCTGCTAACCTCAAGGTCAGCAGTTCGAAACCACCAGCCTGTATGAGGGAGAAAGATGAGGTTTTCTACTCTTATAAAGAACTACAGTCTCAGAAACCCACAGGGGCAATTCTACCCTGTCCGATAGGTTCACTAGGAGTTGGAATCTACTAGATGGTAGTTTTGTTTTTAAGTGAATCAAGTGCATAATAATAAAATTGCCCTAACTACCACTTTATTTTATTCATAAGTGATTGATTTTCAGGACTGTCTAAACAGATAAATTGCTTTACAATCACTACTTAAATATCAACTATATTCAAATTTTGGATATTTTAAATACAAAGATGAGATAAACCACATCCCTAATATTATTTTAAATTACAATTCCTATTATCTATGTTTTATTTTCTATTTTCAACAGTACAGATTTTTCCAGCTGCCGTCAGAAAATGTACCCAGCATATTTGCTAGTCTCAACTCAAAGACAGAAACAAATATATAAACTTTTATTAAGGAAATTATCCAAGTTAATAAAAAACATTGCCAGTGAGAAGCTAATGAGATTACTATTTAGGGAAAGCTATAACAATAAATCTCGAAGTCTTTATAATAGCTGTTAAATCACGTTCTAACAATATTTTATGTTCTAACAATTATACATGTGATCTCATGTATCAAAGCATTTTGATACAGATATATGATTTGAAATGTTGGATCGTATCCTTGAAAAATACTGGGTTCTTTAGAACGTTTCATTCTACAGCCTTCATTCAGAGATATTAAAAAAAAAAAGCATTTAATTACATACACAGAGTAAAATGAGGCATAATCATTTTAGCAATAAGAAAATGAATAATTTGGTTGAAATAAGTACCCAGCTGCTAGGAACAGCTAAGTACAGAATAAGAGGACTATTTTAATCTCTCATTAAAACTGTTCCAAAAAATAATCGCTAAATTAACCATGAAGGAAAAAAATGTTTAGTTTCTTTTTTAACTCATTGATCTTGAATTGACTCTGAACTGTAACTTAAAAAGTCATGTTCTTATCAAGTTAAACTTTCTCATATTTTAGCATGATGACTAAAACCCAAGCTAACAACAATAACAAAGCTTTCTGGACTAATTTCTGAGAAATGGAAAAATTTCATCATAAGTGAACTAAACTATTAATTCTAGGCTTATTTTACATTTTTACACTGATTATATCTGAAGAACATTTCAGATAAAAACAGTTGTCACATATTCAAGTATAAATTCAGGAGTATTATAATTCATTAATATGAAACACGTGTAATGACATTTCATCGTTCTTCTAACTGGGTGGCACTAAAAATGAGAGCAAAAGTTTGCAAAAACCAAAAACACACACAAACAACTCCATGGCATGCACTTCTGTTCATTTAATCTTACCTTCGGACTTTATTTCCCCCTCTCTCCTCAAGACTCAGTTAACCATCTATCTGTACTTATATACCCCCCCAAACACAGAGAAATGTAATACAGTTAAATTTATGTTAGACACAAGGGTAGTATTTAGTAATATACATATGCTGGAAACCACAGTTCTTTGGGCTCTCCTGGTTTATTTAGTGAATCAAACAACACAAAGGCTACATTAAATAAACTGGCTGGCCATCCTTACAATTACCTTTACTATTAATCTGGTTGGCCATCCTGCCTTTATTAACTTTAGAATCTTAAAAAAAGGAGGAGGAGCCCTATCCTCGAATGCGGAACAGGGACTGGGGGTGGTGGTGGGGGTGTGCACACCATCAGCGAGGCTGCCTGCCCAGCAGGGAACACCTCAATCACTACAGCCTAGAAGGCTCAGTCTCCTTATGTGAATCACATCATCTGGGAGAACGGGGAACATGGCGTGAACGTTTTCAAAAGATGTATTGAGCTTCTGACACAGACATTACAAACTCACAAAAGACACTGGCTCCAACAATACTATATATGCTGTGGTTTTTAAGACAGCTGACCAAGTCATCCCTCATGGTATCAAAGATGCTGAACGGCACCAGCAGTGGTAAAGTTCAGCTGCGCAGCCAGCCAACAAGCGTGTCTGCAAGCAAATGGGACAGTTCAACACTGTGCCTGCTCCCCAGTACAGTGTTACTCGGGGAACTGAGCAGTTTGCTTTTTTCTCTTATGGCGTTGGAATACTCAAAATGAAGCAAAAGAGTTACAATGAATTCTGCAGGTAAATCAAATGGTAACTTGCTGGACGTGCCACTGCATGTAACTAGCCATCTGAGGATCGCAAGCCCACCGCAACCACTTGAGGAAGAGCCAGGACCAAGGTGCCGCGGCCTTTATGTGCACCGGGCGGCACTTGCTCTCCTGGAAGTTCCTGGCTCCACTCTGGGGCCTGTACAATGAAGCAGGGCCTCATCTGGTGCTGGGCAGCGAGGG